CCTACTGCCTGATCCAGTCTGCCATTTTCTTCTCAGACCCTGTGCAGGCTCCCTCCACTCCCATGCTGGTGCTTTCCAGGGGTGTGCCCGCGGCTCACCTATTCTCTCCCCACTCACCCCAGCATGGACTGAGGTGGTCCCCAGAACTGTGGCCTGCAGGCCCTGCTTCTCTGACAGCTGTTGACACTCCACACCCATTGTGCCCAAATGACTGCCTCTCCCCTTCCTCTCAGCATACATGCCTTTCCTCCTGTGTGAGGGAGGATATGGCACCCAGGCCACCAAGGTAGAATCTGGACCATTTCTTCTCTTCTTACCTCCCTCTAGCTCATCAGTCCAGCCCAAACCTTGATTAGCACCTAAAACTGGCTCTTCCTCTCTGTGTCCCTCAGCTCTACCCTCACTGAAACTCCAGCTTGTCTACATAACAACTCCTAACCAGCCTCCCACCCTCCTTTCTCCAAATTTAGCACTACTGATTTTTCAACATTTTTAAAATTATAATTACTTTATTTCTTTCCTTTCTCCAACTCTTCCCATATACTCCTCTGTCCCAACTTGCTCTGTCCTAAATCCAGGGCCTCTAAGTCTTACCACTGATTTTTCTGAAGAGCCAATTCAAACAAATAGTTCCCCTGGTAAGGATTCAACAGTGTGTGAAGCCTGAACTTCTCAAATCACCCTGAAAGTCTTTGAGGGTCTCCTTTCACCCCACCTGGAGCCCAGTTCTCTCTCTCTCTCTCTCTCTCTCTCTCTCTCTCTCTCTCTCTCTCTCTCTCTCTCTCTCTCTCTCTGTGTGTGTGTGTGTGTGTGTCTTTCTGTCTCTGTCTCTCTCTTCTCAATGATGAAATGTTCTCTCTCTGTCTACTTGTCTCCAGGCTAGAACATCATCCTGCTAGGAAGACTTCCCAACACTCTCCACCACCAAACTGGGAATTAGGGTCTTACTCCACTGGTCATCTCTATTAACCAAAACATTTCCCCATATCATGATACCATTGCCAGTGATTAATGGCAGTATACAATAGTAGTAATAATACCACTAATATAATCATTTTGGTGCTATATATTAAATTCTTGTGTTCATTATCTCTCACATCTCTGTGAATCAGGAGGGTTTTTTATAGTTTGATTGGTTGGTTGGTTGGTTGATTGATTTACTTGAGACAAGGTCCCACTATGTAGCACTGGCTGACCCCTTACTATGTAGACTAGGCTGGCTTCAAACTTAACAGAAATCCTTCTGCCTCTGCCTCCAGGGCTGGAATTAAAGACTGGATACACGCCTCTATGTCCCATCCAAAGATGTATCTATTTTAATGTGCATGAATGTTTTGCCTACATGTATATCTGTGTATTACAAGTATGAAGTGTCTATGCAGGCCAAGAGAGGGTTTCAGATTCCCTGGATCTGTAGTTACAGCTGGTTGTGAGACACCATGTGGTTGCTGGGAACTGAACATGGGTCCTCTGGAATAGCAGCAAGTGATCTTAACTGTTGAGATCCCCTGTCTCAGTCCCCTGTGAATTAGGAGTTCTTGCTGGTTTTATATGACAGATAAGGAAATCAAGACATTTGTTTTCCCAAAACCCTTGCAAAGAACTACTAGGCTAGCCTTGGAATGCAGCAGAGCTCCAGAGCTTTATAACTCTAAATATTTAATTCAGTATCTAAACTTGTATGTTTATTTTCAGAACTCACCATTTGGTATTAGAGAACCAATTGGTTAGTTTTTCTTAAGGAAAACTATTTCCCCCACTCTCAGCATTTCTTGGTTGTGTGTAGCTCCTTATTTAGCGTTGAGACCTGTGGACCTGTGTTCTAGCTCCTCACTCTGTCATGCTCCCCTCTCCATTTTGGCTGTCTTTTGTTGTTGCCCTTGTTCAGCTGATGTTTTAAAATAAGTATGTATGCATAGCTAAGCAGTTCCAAGCAAGGTGTGGTCACATTGTCTCCATTCCAAGTCTTTCCAGCAGGCTGTCAGAACTGTGTGAAATCTCTTTCCTCACTGGCTGGTGCCAGGATTCAACCTTCTCTTTCTCCCAGCATAGGATTCCTGGAGAAAGTCCAATTCCTTGAATTCATTTCTTCAAAGATCTGATAACCAAAGACATATCTGATTCTGTCTTTTAGAATATCTTCATTCCTGCTAGGACAGTTATAATCCCAGGAGCAGAGGACAGGGCATCCACACCGTCCTCCCCTAGGGACCTGTCATGGTCAAGGGACGCTCTAGACTGCTGTCTAGAGCACCCCCTGGAAGGAAAGGGGGTGAAAGTACAGTTGAGCAACTTTCTCAAGACTTCTCCCTGCTGCAGAGAGCTGTTCCTTTGCTTCTCAATAAATTTTGCTATGTGCCCTTCTAGAAAAGAAGAAAATCAACAAAAGATAAAAAGGGGGGGCCCTGGAGAGGTAGACAGTAAAAGAGCACTGGCTGCTCTTCCAGAGGACTCAGGTTCGGTTCCCAGCACCCACGTGGTGTCTCACAACCAGCTGTAACTCCAATCCCAAGAGATCTGATGTCCTCCTCTGGATTTGGCATCCACATAGTGCACAGGCATACATGCAGGCAACATACCCTCACACATACAACTGAAAAAATAAAAATAAAAGAAAGAAGGAAAGAAGGAAGGAAAAAAAGAAAAAAGAAGGAAAGAAAAGAAGGAATAGACCCACAAGGGCACAAGGCCCATTTGGGACCAGGAAACCAATATTGACTCTTTTGCCTCGACCTTGGTATCTGAATAAGACCTGGGATCTGAGCCTGAGGAGGTGACTTGTAGGTTTGGTCTTCCATTAGATTCTAGCAAATCATTAGTCACAGGGTGTGGGGAGGCAGGAAGGCAGCCCTGATCACAACAGGATCCCCTTGTTCAGAGAAGCTGGGCAAGATCACTGAGCATCGTCTTACTTTCCTATCAGGATTGAAGCAGGGCTGTGACCTCAGTAGAAGAGCACAAGGAAATTACTCACCTGTCACCCCCAAGGAACATGCCAACTCAAACTGAGTGGTACTGGGGAAGCTCCAGACCCTCCTAAGATCCACTGAGGCTGGGGAACTGACTCCAGCCCTGCCAGGAATTTCTGGTATGCCCCTGAGAAAGTCCTGGTCTCTTTGTAGCTCCTGGTGTAACACCCTTGTCCCCAGTCTAGGGAAGATGGTGCTGAGGGTCCTACAAAAAACCACAAAATCATCCAGAACCAGACAATCCAAGCAGAGCTTTCTGCTCCCTCCCCCTGCCACCCCTCAGAAATGGAGGCACCAAGAAAGAAAAGGGTACCTAACACTTTACAAAACACAATTGAATCCACTTTCCCATTTGACTTTCACAGCAACCTATGGCTGTCACTGTCACTTCACATACGGGGTTTCTAGGGTCTATCCATGGAATCAGGAACAAGTGCTTTGGTTTATTTGACACATTGCTGCTAGGTATCATGGACCCCAAACCTCTCAGTCCAAATGTCTCCAGTATGACATTCTGTGCACCTTGTAGGGACAGGAAGATTAGAGTCTGGAGCTATGCTACTGACCTGACTTGTGACAACTCTTTGCTCTATTGTCTGGGCCCACAGGAGTCCCTGCCTAGCTTCCTTGGTTGACTATACTGGGTTGCGGTGAAGGAAGGAGATGAACTCCCAAGACTCTGATTTCTGGGTACACCATGCAGTGGGATGAACCTCCTATTCTGGGACTAGGGGATGACACACCAGAAAGGATCTTTGAGATGACCTAGCTCACAGGACCAAGGAGAGGAAACAAAACCAGAGGGCCTGAAAACAAACAAACAAAAACCCTTTAAAACACACCAATGAGTATGACTTTGAAAGCCACTTTCTAGGTGAGAAGAAGGAAGTCATCTGAGACGCAGCCTAGGAAGACAGAAATGACTAGGATACAAACAGACCCCTTGGAGTCACAGCAAGAAGGACGCCTGGCTATACCAGTGATGCAGCCAGGAGAAGAGTGACCAAACCAAGAAAGACATCGGAAGAGAAGCCAAGTATTACATTTCTGAAAAAGTCAGGACAGGTGATTCTGTCCAGAGGTTAGGTGATACTCAGAACTCAGCAGTTATGAAGTAGTGACAGACATGCTCAGGGATGCTCATGGGGACAGGTACAGCTGGCACACTGGGTGGAGTAGGACATGTAGGCTCCTACTCTTGCACCAAGCAGCTGGGTGTGGGTGGAGCTGGGGAGATAAGGCCTGGGGGCCAGCCTGAGACTAAAAACATATCTGACAATGACTTAGGAGAGCAAATAAGCAAAAGAAGTAGATGCGGAGGATGTTGGTGAGAGGAGCCAAATGAGGACCCGGATTCCTAGATGTTTAAAAAAATTGCCTATTAGGGAGATAATAGCATGTAAAGGGGGAGGGGAGAGAGAAGGGGGAGGGAGGGAGGGAAGAAGGGAGGGAGGGAGGAAGGAAGGAAGGGAGAGGATTAGAGAGTGCCAGAAAGGTATATTGTAAAATGTTAGCAGAGATCTTCCCCTGAGTTGGGGAAGCTGGGTTTTTTGTTGTTGTTGTTGTTGTTTGTTTGTTTAATTTCTACTTTCCTGTTCTTTCCACATTATCAAGGATAAGCATAGGTGATCTTAATAACTACAGTGGGGAATGCAAAATGCTTGCCGCCTCTGTCCTAAAAATAACAAAGATGTAAAGGAAGAGACTGTAGAGAGCTAGGGTAGCAAGAAAGGATGGAACATGGCTGTGTTTGCAGAGTGCCTGCCACGCTAGGAGCTCTCAGAATGGCGACAGGGAAATTCTGCCTGGCAGCTTCTGGTAACTGGCCCTGCATTTGCTACCTTCTCAGGCTCCCCCTCAGCTCTGCCTCTGGACTCACTTAAGGGCATGTAAGTGGAGAGACCTGGCATTAGAAAGGATCCTGGAAGGCTTAACAGAAGAAAGAGAAGTCAGGGAGAGCAGAGAGGGCCCGCCCCACCACATGGTGAGCAGCCAGGCCAAAGGGAACAGTAAGTGCTTCTTAGCACAGGAGACAGCTAATGCATCTTTATTGTTTCTTCCCATGATGCACAGCGGTTCTACAGAGTTTCATTTGCCCCCACTATAGAGGTTGAACAAAGACAACACTTGAGAAGTAGAAAGCAGGCTATGCTGGGGATAGGAAGGGGAACTGGGATGGGGAACTGAGAAGGAGACTTGGGGGGGGGGCGCATTGGGAAGACCGGGCTCAGAAGCCTGGAGCTGCAGCAATGAAGACGTCCTTGTAGCCTTTGATCTCCTTGACTTCGCTACTGCTGATGAGGACTTGTAGCTGGTGGGGCCCAGCTTTGATGGGGTAGAGCTCCATCTGAATTTGGATGGTGTGTCCGGTCATCAGAGTCCCAAGGCTGAAAGTCAAAAGGAGCCTGTTGGAGCCTGGAGGATTGACTGCTTGGATGGGCAATGGGGCAGGGGGACCTACTTTAGTGAGTAGCACTCCCCTGTACCACCAACCCCCAGCTTTCCTGAGACTAGGAAAGTGGGGGCCAGAAGGTGACATCTGGAGACTGAGAAAGATCCAGTGGTCCCATGAGACACAGCTCTTCAGAGACCAACACCAGAGGAAGATTGATAAGAGTTCAATGGAAGCATTACTTACTCTTTTGTTATCTGCCCATTGATAAGGCCGCTTCCCTCCAGAACCATGGTGCAGTTATTCAGAGCCACCATTAGGGTGTTGGTGAGGGTGATATAGATGTTCAGGGCCTTGCCCACCTCAGCCCTTTCAAACACCTGTGTGGGAGGAAGACAGAGGTGCCCTAGGCCCCTGGCCACGCTGCCATTTCCCACTCAGTAAACTCCTGTGACCGCCAGGGACTGCTTAGAACTTAGGTGCCCCTAATGGTGGAGGCTAGCTCAAACTAACATATATGTTGATCTGTTTTAGAAGATCAGGACACTCTAGCAAGCTGCCACCTGTCAAGAATGGGCATAAGAGTTTCCCTTCCTATCATCTATTTGAAGATGCCTACTGAATTTAATTGATGTAATGGTCTCAAAAGGTTAGCAGTGTCTACCATGTGTGAGGTAGGATTCCAAGCACAAGTCCAGTCACTTATAGTTGATTAGTAGTGTCTAACCCATTCAGAGGACTAAGAAGGAGTGTCATGTGTGTCTTCTATGTGCCATTGATGATATTATTCCACAAAAAAAAGAATGATGAAGCCAAGATCCCATGACGGATTAACGACAACAAGGACCTAACTAAGGGCCTCGGATCCTAGCCCAGGATCTTTCTCCCATCCTATTGTATCCTCTCAGGTATCAGCAGAACATACTCGGTTTTCCCCATCTGTGGTCAGTGCTTCACTCTTGAGGTCTGTGCCATAGGGCAGCATGGCCTTAGCCTGTAATGGGAGGCATGGATCCCGTCCTCACTCCTGGAGCCTAGGACAGTGCCATATGGATGACGGGCATCTGTAAATGATTATTGAACCTAAATGAGCTGTCCACACAGACCACAACTGGGGGCATGTTCTAGCCTGGCCAGAGAACTGAAGAGGAAGAACACACCCTTACTTACCTAGAACTCAAGAAAAAGAACCAAGTCTCCAAAGAGGGTGTCAAAGTTAAATGGGTGAAAATAACTCTGGAACCCAGCACAATGACATTAATCACTCACAGGTCTTATAGCCACGGGGGCCATGCACAGCCTGCTGACACATGCTATGTTGTTTCGGGATCCCATGACAACCAGGACGCTGCTCTGGGTAACAAGTGGGGCCTTGGCTCAGCACCAAGCTTGTGTCTACACTTGCAGCTCTGCCCCACTGTTTGCCCACACAGAAGGCATCCATCACCATACTTGAGAACCTGAGAGTGTGCCCAGGTGAAAACCACAAATGTATCAGCTGACTTGCATCCAATATGGAACCATCCAATCATTGTTCTGCTGGCTAGTGCCAGGCATGCTGTTAACCAGGCTTCCAGGCATAGAGCTGGTCTTGGGGTAGGCAGTGGAAAAGTCTTTGGGAGAGGAAGGGAAAAGTGGGGAAGAAGCCTTTGGGGACGGACAACTCAGGTGACAGGAGATGGGGAGGACATGTGCTCTCTCCTCTATGGGGCTTTCTTAATGCCTTTCTTCTGTAAAAGCAACCAAGCCACTCTGGCATTGACTTTCTATGTCTGAAGTTCATTTCTTGTTCTTATTTCCTGTGTCACTCCACATCTTATCAGTGGTCATCTTTTGAACTTGACTGTATGCTCTGTCTTAAATCTGTCTCTTCCACTCAACATCCCAAATCATTGCCTCTTTATCTCTCCCTTTGTGAAGGGATCTCCTTACTTAATACACCTCCACAATAACATGCCTTCATCTGTTCTCGGCAGAGCACCTTCCTCAGCATCCTCTACAAAATGTGACTTCGGGAGATGCCTTCATGCCCCACCCTTTGTTTTATGCAGAACACCAGAGCCCACTACTTCTCAGCTTGTTGATTATGGCTGAGTAAAGTCTCAGAGACTGTACTGCCATCATGTATGACAGGGCACGGTACCGCCACCCCCCCCCCATGAAAAGAACATCTTAGAGTCTGTGGGTCCCCATCTCTGTGTAGAGACCTCACCTCAATTGATAACTGGGGAGGCTCCAGAGAGAAATCTTTTAGGATCAGAATGAACCGCCCTGTCTCTTCAACCTCAGCGATGCCAGACACATGGATCAGCTTTTCATCTGTCAGCTTGTTCCTGTAATTGCTGTAGGGCAGCAGGAGTGGCCACTGTAACTCTGAACATAGGCAAAAACATCATCTTGAGTCCAAGGAATGGGTTAGAAAAGGAATACTGCACTCAGAGGTCACTGATGTCTGATGTGTCAGGATGACGTCACAAGTACTGCACTAGCATCCAACTGTCCAGTGACACCATCTTCCCAGACTGGGATGTGAGAGTCTCCCTGTGATTTGGCTAGTGCAGGCCAGCCTGATTCACAGACCTAAAGCTCCACTGTCTACAGGTGCCTTCTCAAGCCTGCTACATACTCACCCTTCTCAATGTCCATATTCAAGTGTACCGCATGTCTCCAGAAGGGTTTCCGAGTGCTGCCCCCATGCAGCAGGGCCTGTGCACAAAAGCGTACCGTCAGTCCAATGGGGTCCTGACTATGGGCTCTGTCTGGAACCCTCTGGACATGTAGTGTGAGCATCAGGTCCTGGCCCCACATGGGTTCCCTAGCCAGGCGGAGTTGCAGCTGCACAGGCTTATCCTTAAAGCCCTCAGACCCTAGGAGATCCAGGAGGGATGAAGAGTCCCTTCTTGGTTCCAGCAATTTCCGGGAAGCCTTAATGAATACAGACCGCTCCTCAGAGGATCCTGGCAGAACAGATCCACACAGAACAAAGACATCAGTGGGGCAGAGCAGAGAGAACCAATAGCCTTCTTGGGAAAACAAATGCAGCTGCCAGCCAGAAGCCATGACAGTGAATAGCCACACAGACAGTCACGCAGCATCATGGCTCAGATGGGAATGGTGTTGCTCAGTGCACAGTCTCTTTGGCTCTCAGTGTTCAGTTCTGTCTTATGAAACTCAGGGACGATACTGGGTTGCCCAGAGTTACTGCAAAGTTAGGTCATGTAATTTCTGAGTGTAAGATTCAGTGTGGTCCTTTGCCACCAGTATCACCATTATCACCACCACCACCATCATGACTGTCACATTATCATCATCATCAAACCCAAAGGCCTCTCTTCCCTGCCTACATTCTCTCTCCTAAAATACAGATTCAAGTCTTTTAGATAGAACTTCACCTCTTTCTCTTAGGAATAATTCAACATCTGGGCTTAAAACCCAACCTTGCTCCAGGCTGTGGACTCCTCTAGAATACTTACTATGTTTCCAGTGAGTTCTGCACTCTAGCTCCTTTGAGGAGAGATATCTCATTTCACTGATAAGGAAGTAGAGGCAAGGGAAGAAGGTTCATACCCATCTACAGCACATCAGAGCATTGCGTAGTTTTCCAGTGGCCACAGTCCACCAAATCTCCCCATAGGACGGTCTACTCCCTTCCACAGGCTCAGAGCCCTCTCTCTCCCAAGTGTCCATCCCTCCCCTTGCTGCTACCCCTACTGTGATGGACATAGAGAGACAGATATGTGACCCTGATAGAGTTACTAAATAAAATTCAGGACCTCCAATTAAATTTGAATTTAAGATAAGCAAATAATCTTTATTGTAAATTACATGCAATATTTGGAACACATTTACACTAAAAACTATACCCAGTTAATTTGAAATTCAGATAAATAGTGAATTATTTGGAGACATACTAAAAATTACACCCAATTAATTTGAATTTCAGATGATCAGTGAATTATTTTTAACAGAAAGATGTCACCACATAGGGCTAGCATGATGGCTTAATGAAAAAGACATCTGTTGCCAAGCTTGACAACGTGAGTTCAATGTTCCTATGAAGGAAGGAGTTGTCCTCTGACAGACACACACACACACACAACGATACATGTTCCCACACACATTCATGCGCATGCATATATACATACACACAATAAATAAATGTAATAGAAAAAATTAAAGATGGAACATATTTAAAATAATGTATTTGTCTTAACTTATCTGGAATTCAAATTTAATTGAGCATCCTGTATTCTTATTTGCTAAATCTAAGCAAATCTATCCCAGGATCAAGTACCCAGGACCTAAAATCGCCCCCTGGGAGTTTTTCATAAGAGGGGGATGGTGTTGTTTTGACATGGGCCATCCAATGCTTACACCCACTCCCTCCCAAATCCAAGGCCCAGGCACCTTCTGGGTACTTGTAGGAACTGGTGATGTCCAGGCGCTGATCTGACCCTACCATCTTGGTACTGATTGCCTTCCCAATGTAATTGGTATTATGGGCCAGGATTTCTTGGACCTGGCCACCCTCAAAAAGCCAAATGACCTCGTCAGCATTCACCTCCGCAAACACAAAAGGGGTGTCGTAGGGCAAGTGGACATCCCCTTCCTTGATGGCTTTCACAGAGGCTGGACCACAGCAGAACAACCCTGTGGAGGAAACAGGAATCATGGGATGTAGATGAAGATATATGGGCCCAAGGCAGCTGGCAGCATTGGGAGGTGATGAGAAATGACGGGCAGTGGCAATAATGCCCCTCACACCTGGGCTTTCTCCAGTTTACCAAGCACACTGGTGTGGTTTATTTATCTGATCCTCACAGTCACCCCATTGGTGTGGCTGTTGTCAACACCATCTTCCTGACTTCACAGGAAAGAACAAAGAGACTTGTTATTCCAGGTGATCCCATTGTCAGTGGCAAAGTTATAGCTGCGATCTAACACTGTTTATACTACGTCCCTGGAAAGAGGGGGAAGTGGGCGACTACTGCACCTTTCTGGCCTGCTAGAGAGCCTGGCCCCTGCCACATACGCCCCACGCACCACTGCTGGTTTGCTGGGGGGTGGGGTCCAGAACTTGCCAGCCATTGTACCCTGGTGGAAGGTCTTTCCGGATCATCCAGCACTCATTCCAGACATGGAAGTTCCTGCAGAATGGAGGAAGAAGCCAGGGCTTATATCTCCTGATGGTTTTTTTTAGGTGCCAGACACTGTGCAGAATGTTTTATGCCTTTGTTCATAATTCTATTTTCCTCTAATTTGTATTAGAAAGTAATTATAATAGAGAAAGCTATCAAGGAGTCAGCCTTGGTGGTGCATGCATTTAATCCCAGCACTTGGGAGGCAGAGGCAGGCAGATCTCTGTGAGTTAGAGTCCAACGTGGTCTACATAGAGAGTTCCAGGACAGCCAGGACTATAATAGAGACATTGTCTGATTCAGTCTCGGCTATCATGATTTGTCCTCTACCTGGAACAGTGCTGAGTTTTTACAGACAAGAAAACCTCTTACCAGATTTTGTCTGGCTTCTGAGTTGGCAGCATTTCTGCAGTTCGGTCATAGTAGGTGTCAATGGTCAAGTTCCCATCTGTGTTGTGTGCAGAATGGAAATTGGAAACGACTCTTGTTGGAACGCCTAAGCATCTCATTACTACAGAGAAGAAGAGATGACTAAGATCATTTCAAGCAAAATTATTACTTTTTCATGCATAGTTTCTGACCTTCAAACTTGCAGCAAATCTTCTTGCAGAAGCTTCTGCTTACCTGCCCATCAGTGGTACCCATTCACAAAGTGGAAGACATCATTTGTGAGCCTCTTAAAACAATAATAAACATCCTTTCTGGCTCTTTTCTTTTTCCCAACAGCTCTCCAAGTTAAAAGCAAAGAGACTGAAATGCATGAGAATTCAAAAGAAGGGAAAATGGGTGGCCAGCTTCAAAAGAGAACTGTGTGACTTAACTGTGTGGCTTAACTTCTCTGGGTTAGTCCTGTGAGTAAGAAAGTGAAGAGTTAAAGTGGATGGCTTTCGGTTCTAAAATTCTGATTCTGCCGTTCTACTTAAAGACACAGGTTGAGAGAAAGAAGAAAATTAGAGGGCTGAGGATGTAGCTCAGTGGTAGAGGGCTTGCCCAGAGTACAAGGTTCTGAGTTCATTCCTCAGCACTGCAACATATACTAATAACTAAAGAAACAAACAAACAAGAGAAAGGCTATTCCATTGTAGAGACAGTGGGTGACTTACTGTCTTTGAAAAGGCAGCAGCTCCCTCTTGTGGATCCTCAGCATGGTAAAGCTAAGATTTCACAGGCACATTCACTCAAAGCAGGCATTATACCATGCTTACACACATACACAAACTAACTGCCTACAACCAGGTGTAATCAAGACCAGGCATGTCTTGGGACTAGGTCCTCACCTCTATCAACGCACTCAGAAGAGGTCTCTCCCACCCACTCTTCCTCAGAAGGAAAGCAGAGTTTACAGAGGGAAGGTCACAGTGCTTTTAAAAGTAAACTGAGTAGGAGTCCTTCTGTCTCCAGGCACTGTAGAGCCTACAGCAGGGCCCGATGTGGGTAGTTAGCTGTCTGATCCAGCACTGCACCTGGGCTTTCTACACATCTGCAGAGGGCGTGGGACTAAGACCTGGGCTGCAGGTGGCCAAAGGTAGCTTAGCAGTCACAGTGCTCTCCACTCAACAGTCCCGACACCCTGTGAAGTATGAAGATGGAAGGCTTGGGGAGGGGGCCAAGCCATGGATCTAGCCCTTTTCCTGTTCATCCTAGGATCTGAAGGTTCAAGGTGATCTCCATAATGCCCACCTGGCTACCCCTGGAGACTCCAGGCCAAGGTAGGACAGGACTACAGGAGGCCAGAATAGCCACAGCCCCACCTCATAAGTAAGCTGATGAGGTCACATTATGTGCACTCAAATTTAAATCTCTGCACCTGAGGCCCCTGAATATAGCTTTAAGACTGTGATTTCCCTCAAAGAGTAAAAGGCAGAAGCATGTTCTCACCTATGTCCCGTCCCCCTTCTCCAGTGGAATTTACCTGTTACTTCAGTAAATACCTAGGACACAATGTGACCAGGCAGGTGTGCTTTGCATGGGGGAGGCAGGCAACACTCCAGTAAGCTAGGTTCTTCAGCGTCCCAGACACTTGGGCCAAGAATTTAGCACTGAATTGTAAACAGTTGCGTATGTATTCAACGGAGTCAAGTGTCCATTCTCCTCAAGGGTAGTTAGCAAGGTAGCAAAGCTCTAATTGTAAGTCAAGTCTCTCAGGAAAGTCTATGTGTGAGGTCAGGCTATCCCAGAGTGTCTACTTAGTCCTCCTGCCTCCACCTTTGGCCCACTGCACAGGCTGGAAGAAGTGTTCTGCCTTTTGTGGGGACTACAAGTTGCTCTCTCCAAATGGCCACCTTTCTCTCTGTCTGTCTGTCTCTTAAGACAAGATCTTATCAAGTGCAGGTTAGTCTAACTCCCTATGTAGCCAAGTAAACTCCTGATCCAACTGCCTCCACTTCTCAAATGTTGTTATTAGAGGCATGCCCCACTGTGCCCAGCTCAGGTGCCCACTATTAATGTTCTTCATCAAAGAGACTGTGGAGTAATTGCAAAGCTCATCTCCTGGAGGCTGAGTAGTGTACAGGTTAAGAACTCATGTGCACACTGATCCTAACCATGGACCATTGAAAGCTCTGGGCCCTTCATGAGCTACAGTGGATTCTGAGAGTAGGGATTGTCGTGGTCTGACATGAAGGGGAAACCAGAAAGAGTCAGTGGGTAAGACTTCACTCACCTGTGCACATAACAGAGGCAAAGACCCAGCACTGTCCATATTTCACAGGCTGCCCACCCCTGGCCGACCACTGCCGCAAGATGGCCACACTGCCGTTCCATTCCAGAGGGCTGATGCCCTGGGAGTAGTCCTCTCCCCAGTTCCCCTGAAGCACACCACTGTCGTCATTGCTGTTGATCTGCAAAGAGCAGGCAGGTGGGTTTCCACAACACTCTGGAGATTCTCAAGCCGTCCTCGGGCAGAGGCAAGCTGTAGCTCTTACCATGGCACTCACCACCCTGCATACGTACACCACGTCGCTCCTCTGAGAATGGTCTCTGGACGGGTTCCTTAGAAAATAGAGGCTCTTGTTCAGGATCTCAAAGCAGATATCAACGATGTCCTCTTCGAACTTACAAGGTATTTGAAGGGAGAAATCAGAGAAAAGCAAAAATGTGTTGAGTCTAGAAACTTGGACGCTAACAAGTTTTTTTTAAGGGGTGATGTGTTTGTGAAGGGAGGGTAGCAGGATTTAACCATATGACAAGATCCTGTGTTGGATGTAAATCAAGTTGGAAATGCATTCGAATCAGAACTGTTTAAAAAACCAAGCTGTGTGGTTCTTGACAAAAAAAAATGCGAAGATTTGAGAGAATGGGAGAGAAGGTTTTTGAAACCCCAGCTTTAAAATGATAGCACAAACAGGAAGAGGAGCATGGAGACATTTCCCCGAGGTGTTTTAGCACAGTGGGTCCCAGGGGCCTACGTCATCTATATGCAGGACTTGCAGAAACAGGTAAGATCATATGGATGAGTATTTGCATGATCTCATATTTACATGTGAGGTCAGCATTTCAGAAGAGGGAGACACTGAAGGAGAGAACTGGAGTCAGGGGTAATGTTGCATGCTGCAAAAACCAGGGTAGGCTCATAAGACAACATGTGTCTGTGACAAATGTTGACCCTCTGGCTGTCAAATGCTACTTCCCATATCAGCTTCAGCAGTTGGGGGATGGGAGAGTGTGAGCTTCCTCAGCAAAACTCCCAGCATCTCCCACCCCTTAGAATAACAGGAAGGGAGAGACCATGTGGGGTCACAATCAGTGGCTGAGAGTGGAAAAATCATCCACAGCCAAAGTCCCTGTCCCCTCCCTCCTGCACTCAGTAATGGGGCTGCACTGTAACTGCATATTTGATGTTATTAAAGAGTTGCTGCTCACCTTTTCAGTTGTGATCATGAGTTGTGATAATGATTCTATGACTATATTGTGACATGTTACTGGATCAAATGATACGCTCTGTAATTTCTTCCCCAAAGTCCTGAGGGGATGAGAAGGGGAAGAGAGGTGCCTAGAGCGAGGCTGGTTACACCTTCCTGTAAAGGGTGGGTAGCAAGGATCTCACTCACCCTGGAAGCCCATAGGCTCTGCCTCAACTCTCCTCCCATTAAGCATAAAAGCCTTAGACACCAGCTATGTGAAGGAACATGTCTGAGTCCCGTGGGATGCTATTTGAGGATACTAAAGTCTAAACTTCACATACTGTCTAAAGCCTCAAAATAGTATTCCTTTAAAATTCTTCCCTACAGTTTTAAAGCATGAAAAGTATCTTTCACGGTGAGTCATACAAAAGCAGTAGAGTTGCAGCACAGAGGCAAGGGGATTTCAAGTTTAAGGCAGTCTGAGTTCCATAGGGCATTAAAGGCGAACCTGTGAAATCAAGTCAGTGAGAACCTGCCTTTAAAATCATTAACGAAAACCCTACACCAGGGTGGGATGGGTCAATGTGAGAAAGTGCCTCCCATAGAACCAAATGACAAGAATCCAATCCCAGGGCCCATATGGTGGATGGAGGGAAATGACTTCCTGGAGTTGTCTTCTGGTTTCCATATGTGCCATGGCATGCATGCACGAATACATATGTGCACACATGAATACATGAAATTAATTTAATTTCTAAAAATGAAAGCATTAGGAGAGGGATGGCCCCAGTGTTAGGAACACTACCTGCTCTTCCAGAGAACCTGAGTTTGATTCCCAGCACCTGCATGGTGACTCAGAATCTTCTGTAAATATAGTCACAGGGAATTATCACCCTCTTCTGGTCTCCTTGGGTACCAGTCACACACATGGTGCACAGATATACACATAGGCAAAATGTTCTCATAACAAAAAAAATTTTTTCAAATGAAGTGATAGGAGACATTGGCCCATGGGCTGTTGCTTTCAAATTATGGAAGAATGAAAGGCTTGTCACAAATCGGTCCCTAGTGGGGTTGGTAACTTGACATAGAAGTTTATTACAGTTGTTGGTAATTCTCTACTCTTCTTTCCTTCTCTCTCTCTCTCTCTCTCTCTCTCTCTCTCTCTCTCTCTCTCTCTCTCTCTCTCTCTCTCTCTCTCTTGTTTTGTTTTTTTGAGATAGGGTTTTTCTGTATTGCTTTGGAGTCTGTCCTGGAACTCGCTCTGTAGACCAGGCTGGCCTCCAACTCACAGAGATCTGCCTGCCTCTGCCTCCCAAGTGCTGGGATTAAAAGAGTGTGCCACCAACACCCAGTTCTTCTCTTTTCTTAATACAGCATAAAAACCTTGAAAACAAAGCAATATTTTCTTTGCTTGCCCTCTCATTGGAAGGGAAGTTGGCCAGCACCTCACACAGCCCCCAACAAGCCCATCCCAGGCCCACCTCCAGAAGGCCGTGTTACCTGCCCATAGTTCCAAGGCCTGGAGGTAATGGAATTTTCTTGACCCTTGTAAACAAAGCCGTAATCGCTCATGATATACTCCTGCAGCAGTGTTTCACTAGGCAGGTAGACATCATCCTCTGAGCAGTAAAGAGTATCAGAGAGATAAAGAAAATCACAAGGCAAACAACAAGCATGAAATTAAAAAACAGCAGAAAAGAAACATCATTCTGGAAACAGGAAGAAGAGTCAATGGATGACTGAGGTCAACAGAAATTAAGACTGGGTCTTCGTAAAAGTTAGACATGTGCTTTTCCAGAGACCAGCAACAAAATCTATGCTATAAAAATTATAGATTATGAAAATTATAAGATTATTTTAGAGTTTTGGAAAATATAGGAAAAAACTCAATCATTCCCAGTACTCAGAAATGCCCACTGTAACATTGTCTTTTTACTGTAGCATATGCATAAATAGTTAGAATCAAATTGAATTCACTTGCTAAATTATCTCACTTAACATCACAGTATGAATATTTTCATCATGTTATTAGGGGCTGGAGAGATGGCTCAGTGGTTAAGAGCACTGTTCTTCCAGAGGACCTGGGTTCAATTTCCAGCACCTACATGACAGTTCATATCTGTAACTCCAATTCCAGGGGATCTGATACAGACACATACACAGGCAAAACCCAAAGCCACATAAAATAAAAATAAATAAATAATTTTTAAGAATTCTTTGTGGGAGCCAGGCACTGGTGGCACACACCTTTAATCACAACACTCAGGAGGCAAAAGCAGGCAAATCTCTGTGAGTTCAAGGCCAGTCTGGTCTACAGAGTGAGTGCCAGGATAGCCAGAGCTACACAGAGAAACCCTGTCTCCAAAAAAAACAAAAAACAAAAAAGAAAAAAAGAATTCTTTGTGGGTCCAGGTGTGGTGTTGTACACTTTATCCCAGCATTCTGGAGGCAGAGGCAAGTGGATCTCTGTGAGTTTGAAACCAACCTGGTCCACAAAGTGAGTTCCAGAGTATGTCTCAAAACAATTACAAAACCAAAAAGTGAATTAGGGTGTAGTGGTGCATGCCTATAATCCCAACACTCCAGAGGCCGAGACAGAGGATCATGAATTCAAGACCAGTGTAGACAATGCAGCAAAACCCAGCTAACAAAAGGAAAAATATTAAATAAATATGTTTAAGGCTGGTGAGAGGATTGAGAAAGTAAAGGAACTTATGGCTAACCCTGGTAACCTGAGGTCGATCCCTGGGATCCACATGCTGGAAGGAGAGAACCAAGGCCCACAAAATGACGTTCACCCATGTAGGTGAACACACACACACACACACACACACACACACACACACACACACGAAAAGTTAATTTTTTTTGTTTCAGCACAAGGTAATATGTTGTACCGATATGCAATGATTATCAACCAGGCTTTGCCACAAGAACCTAAAAGAACCAATGCATCAAATTAACACTACAATCTGGGGGCAAGTTCTACCTGTACTCCATGGGTTAAAAAGCAAGATGAAATTGCCCAGTGGGTAAGTCACACCAGGACCCTGGTCCCGAGAAATCTCTGTCTTCAGTGTGTAATGGCCAATGACTGCGCTGGCTGGTGTGAAAATCGAAACTTGGAGAGAGTTGCTGTCAATAATGAAGTCAGAAGCACTCCAGACATTCCCAGGCCGGGTCTGAAGGAGCAAGAAAGTGGCTCGGGTCCCCAGAAGCTCTGTGGGCTCTGGTCCTGAGTAAGAGAGAAAGAAGATCCCAGAGGAGGGCTTAAAACTCTTATGTGATGGAGCTGAGGCATGATGACTCAGTGGTTAAACATGTATACTGCTCTTACAGAGAGAGGACTGCAGTTTGGTTCCCAGAACTCATGTAAGGCTACTCAAAATTACCTGTAACTTCAGCTCCAGGGGATGATCTGATGCCCATTTTAGCCTCTCAGTATGTGTGCGCGCACACACACACACTTAAAAATAATAAGATAAATGTGGTATGTAACTCCCTGTGGCCTGGCAGACTCCCCACCATCTCCCAACATTTGCTAAAGCCTTTTGTTTCAAGGCTTTTACTAACGTTTAAGCTCTTTGGGCCTCTGATTTTTTTTTTTCATTTCCAGTCTGTAAAACGAGAGCCTGGTGGTACCACCTTAAAGTCTTCCGTGAGAACTAAAAGGAGGTCACGTCTGGCGAGTTTTACTACTATGCCTGTGTACTTGTAAGTTGGCTGTTGTGACTAAAACATCAGTTTGATGACCTGGCCAAATACTTTCTTAGTAGACCTAACGGTACTGGTATGAGGATCCTGGAGGGGTTCCAGAAGAGGGGAGGACAGCTCAGAGACCGGTGACAAGAGCCCTTCCCCAGGTGAACTTTCCTAACTTTCTGTTTTGGGGGAACCAGAGAGGGCAGGACAAGCTCACCTGTCTCAGCCACAAAGGTGAGCTGGTCCTTCTGGGGCTGGAAGGGTTGATTGAAGGTCAAGGTTAAGCTGAAGTTCTGGCCACGGCGCAGGATGAGCTTCGTCAAGCCCATCTCCTGAGTGTGGTGGTTCTTGTTGTTCCTGGGGATCTGCAGTTCCACAGACCTGAGCTCCAAGGCTGCCACTTGGGGAGGGAGGACAGGTCACTGCCCCGCTGAGACTTGGCATCATTTTGATTAATCTGACTGATGTTAGCCTTGCTGCCCCCCTCCCCTGTGCCTCCTGATTTCACGACAACCTCAACGGGCAATGCAGCAGGTCCTAGCCAGGGATGGAGAGGGCTATTAGTCCTTGAAGCATCAGAGCTGGAGGATTAGTGTCCCAGAGGGCAAAACAAATTCCAGATAATGACAAGTCCCTCTATCATCTTGCTGGTTTAAGAATAAACACATTGGAATTTTGTATGAATGAAGCCAAGCTGTCTGGAGGCTGGACAATTGCTATAAGGCAAGTCCCTGATCTCAGTTAGCAGGACTATTTGGATTTACTTTCTGGTTCTCAGTTTTGTTTCAAGCCTATGCAGAAGGTATTCTCGACACACATCTAGTGTATGCTTGTAAGATTCCCCTAGCACAGTAAAATGTGTAAAGATTCTAGAGTGACTCGGCCCTAGGTCATCATCACCCTGGCAAGTTGCTTGAAAGACCTTGAATAGCCCTAGACATTAGTTTGTTCATCTAAAAAGTAAGGAGATGATCATGTTCCTACTTCATACGGTTTACATAGGCCTCCAGGAAGGAGGCCTACATGAAAACCTCTGGGCTAGGTCACACACAGAGAAAGTCCCTGGTATTTCTTAGTTACTCGAGTAGCAGCGATCATGAACTTGCTTTGCTGTTCTTGCTGACAATGTTCACTCACTAGGTCTTTCCTCTAACAAGTCTAACCTATTAGTACGTTGTGAGTGACTACCTCCAAGCCATCCTAGGGCATTCAGCTGTGCCTGCTAACAAAAGGATTATCCCAGCTGGGCTTTATTGACTGTTTACACCCGCTGTGGAAAAATGAGGAGGTCAGGAGATCCATACCTGGCAACTGCTTTATGCAACTCTGCTTTACTTGCATGCGACCTCCAGAAAGGTTACAGTGTATAAGTGAAGGAGACTGGCAGCAGGGTTCCATCTATGCAGTCAAGGGGAAGGCCCTGCTCAGTAAAGGCATTTCCAGGTACAGTCTGTTCAAGGAGGAACACCCTCACCCTGCAAGCATCCCTCCCCTGTGCTCTGTAAGGAAGCCCAATAAATTCACTTTTCCCCAGGATGAACTTTGTCAGAATCACTCCTCTGTTTGTCGTTGGGACTTTAGTTTTAGGAGAAGGGTGGATGTAGCTTATGTCTTATGCTGCTGGGAAGGAATTTTAGCAGCATAGATTATGGGACCTACTGTATGGAAGGTAAAAAGGCTCAAGAGACTGCTGCCCACCCAGGTAAGACCCCAGGGACCTACATGCTAGAGAGAACAAACTGACCCCCTAAAAGCTATCCTCTGACTCTGACATGTATGCTTAATATTAAAGTCACACACACACAAATACAATTTTAAAAGGTGACCAATAAGAGAAACAAAATAGACAATATCACAAAGCATGGAACACTGGAAAAGCAAGGACAATTTTATGTGTAAATGAGTCATAGTGTGAATTATGGGTCATGATAAAAAGTCTGAAAGCAGTTGGCCTAGATCCTGTTGAAAGGTGACCACATCTCGTATTTTCAGGGGCCTGAAATGTCCATACCAAGACCACTGAGTTTCCCGGGAAGGCGCTCTGCCCTACACATGCCTTCCAGAGGCCAGCCTCCCTTGAAAGCACCTGTACCCTGAAGAAGAGTGAAGGGCTCTGGGAGTCATCGTGTGTGCAGCACAGGAGAGAAGAGGCAAACTTTCCTGGCTGCTGTGCACTGCTGGAGCCCAGCTGGCTCCCTTTCTCCAGGCTTCTTCCTTCAGTTTAGGAAGCAAAGGAGAGGCAGGGATGTTGCCTTCTCTCAAGCCCAAGGCTGCGTGCCTGCCGAGATACAGTCACCATCAGACACTTAGGCTTTCTTTTTACTCCACTTAATGTAATGATGTGTTGGCTCACCCAAGAGCTTTTCATGTCAAGGAGACATGACTTATAATAAAGGAAAGGCTTCCAATGAAGCCAGAAAGGGAAGCTGAGGAAGCAGGAAGAAGCTCAACAATGCAGGAAATCCAGTAGAATCAACTAGAAAAACACGTCAGCACCCACAAGGCCTGACTTGGATGTGGTCCCACAGGAGGTGATGGTGTGAGTAAGAGAGAGGCGAGCCTCAGACACAAGACTCCTGGCGCTTACCTGATTAACACAATGACAAGGGTATAAAAGGATGAAATTATATCCGGGTATATTATCAGCCTTATAAAGGGGTGGGAGGAGACATTGAAACAGTTGCCTGCCTAGGAGGAATCCTCTGAGAAACCAAAACCTGAGATAGCCTTGCTCTCAGGCGGGGCTCCATCCCATCCCTCCACTTGGGTCTTGGTTCTGAGGGTATCACAATCATGTGTGGGACTTTCTTTAGCCACCAAAGATGCCTTACACCATGAGTTTTTGCTTTTACAACACCTTTAATTTTCTACAGAGCATTGGATAGCACCTAGAGTTAGCCCCACAAAAGCAGGTCATCTTGAACCTGGATTCCCCCATGTCCAGAATCAAGCACTTTCGAAAATCATGCTTGTGTTCAGAGAATTCCTACTACAAGCCAGTCCACTATCCATGTCCCAAATCATTTATTTTCTCACAAGTACTCTGAAATACAGTGTTACTATTGTTCCTGACAGGAAGGAGGGTTCTGGTCAGAACTAGGATTCAAGCCCAAGCAGGCTGGTTCTAATCTTCACCATCTCCTGCCTTTCCCAATAGGCAGGTGCTAAATAATGTTCACTAAATGGACAGGTGCATGTGCACAAAACTTCAAGGAATGGGGGCATCAGGACAGTCAAGGGGGCCACAGGAGTTCAAAACTTATAAAAGTGACTATAAAAATTAAGAACAGGAGTGGGCAGTGGTGACACACGCCCTTAATACCAGCACTTGGGAGGCAGAGACAGGCGGATCTCTGTGAGTTTGATGCCAGAGCAAGGTCTAGAACATCAGGGAGGGACTACACAGAAAAACCTGGTCTCAAAAAACAAAAATAAATAAAAAGACTAGAGCTTTACTGAGATCACGATTAAATACAAAACAACGAGATCCATATTTGATCTACTAAAATATTAAAATTAATGACAATACCCGATTTGTTGAAGGCATGTGGAAATAGATTGCCTCATATACAACAATAGAAGTATAGAATTCATACAGATACGGACCTTTTAGAGACAGGACCCTTGGAACAAGCTGGCTAGACCGTCTAGCTGAATCAACAAGTTCAGTGTGAAACCCTGCCTTAATATATGAGGTGGAGACTGGTCAACAAAAACACCCAATTTCACAGTCTAGCCTTTGACTATCTATGCATAGACATGAGTACAACGTATGTGTAACACACACACACACACACACACACACACACATGATCAAAGAATAAGGAGAACTCATTCCCTAGATGCCAAAAGTAAAACAAAAGGTACTGAAAATTATAGGAGAGGTTTCATCAAGTTTTCTAGTTTATCGAGTCTTTGTTTTGAACAGACGTTTCTTGTCTATAATGGGGTAGTGTTATTTTGATTGAGGACGGGTTTTTGAACAGGAGTGGCTCATCAAAGCTATACTTTGAAATGAATTTAGCTGTGGTGTTTAACCCAGACCAGAGTGGCAGAGACGGCAGTGACACTTCTGTTGCAATACTCTAAATCAAAGGCTAGTGGGAACTCAAAGACAGGTGATGGTAAGAGCCTGAGAGGGGCCACCCATGTGTTCCAGGGACCAGCCTCTATGGGCACACGGCTGCTAATAAATATGTGTTGCAATAATGTGATTTGCAGAGCTTCCTAAGTCCCCTGCAGGTGTAGGTGAAGATCAGAGCCAGCAACGGAATCCATCACCAAGGCCTGGGACACCTCACATAGACACACCAAAGGTGAGTTACATGTGGTACAACCAGCAAGGGAATTGGCCTCTGCCATCAAATTCCAGCCGAATGCAGAGCCTCCTTTCTGCCTCGCACTGCATTTGTGTTAGCTTTCTCCCTCTCCCCACTTATTATACCATCATCACTATTATTATTTGAGGACTTTGATACATACTTCATTCCTTTTCATTTCTTCAGTTTAAAAAACGAGAAAGATTACATTCTGTGCAAAAGTTTATGAAATGATTCCTATGTGGCGAGATTGCCAGAGTGTTCTGTAGGTATTTAAGTTTGAGAAAACAAAAATTTCTCATAACTCAAAAGCTTAAATCCAAACTCTTCCAAAGTGTGGGTCCAACATATTCCTATCTTATCTCCCAGGTACTCTTAAAATAACTCTGACTCTCTCACACTGTCCTCCAAATGGACCATGCCCATGTCTAGACAGCCCCAACCCTCCCTTAAGCCTTCTGTGTCTCCACAACACAAGTTTTCCAAGCAAAATTCAGCACCCACCTTCCTGAAATCCTTCAAAAGTACTTTGCTTTAGAACATGGGACCTGCCACAATATTTGTGCCTATAGCTCTGTAGCTGATATTTGGTGAGTGTTAAGAAGGCCCAGGCTTTCTGTACATTACCTCCTTTTATCCCTACAACTATCCCATGAGCTATTATCAACTCCATGTGACAGATAAGCAGAAAGATGATTAGTAAGGGGAAATGACTTGCCCAGTGTTACCTACTTATTGCCATTTAAATTTAGTTTGACTCATGCACCTGGAAGGTGGTCCTAGAGCAACAATTCCTGACCTTCCAGACAGCCATCTACATTTTTTGTGTTTTTTGGGAGTAAAGAAATAGACAGACCTAAGAGGAGTTGCTCTACTAAAAGAACTGGGGAGCCATCCTCCAGTCTAGGCTTCTCCATAGGACCCGAGGTGGGGGGCAAACAACAATGAAAAACCACAGCTCTATTTCCAATGCATCATTCAAAGGTACCAAAGAGTGTAGAAACTGGGACATTAGATGCGGCTCAAATAATAGAGCACCTGCCTTAATGTACACAGAGCCCTAGGTTCAATTTCCAGCACCAGTAGGGTATGGTGGTATGAACCTGTAATCATAGAACTTCAGAGGTGTAGGCAGTAAGATCAGGAGTTCTAGGTCATCCTCAGATACATAGTAAGTGTGAGACTAGCCTGGGCTACCTAAGACCCTGTCCCAAATGACAAATAAGACAAAAACAAACAACAACAACAAAACACAAAAAGTACAGATGCCCTCAGGTAGCTTAGGAGATTGGAACAGAACCAGCCCCAAGGCTTACCTGATCTCTTTCCATACTCTGCAATTCCTTAGGCTCAGAATCACCTATTTTTCAATTAATCACTTAGTGACAACTATACTACTTCCTTGAAATATTTTTGCTTAATAGTGTCTATATGACTAATTAAATGTTCACACCCCAAGCCCAGTAGTTTTAATAGCTGCTATCAAGCAGAAAGTAGTTCCTGGGTTGACTGCACAGGTTAAATCATTAAGTCTTTTGGCTCATGTATAAAAGAAGCTATAAATATTAGTCATAATCATAAAATTCAAGCTAAGACAATAATGAGACCCATAACTGCTTGAAATAACAATAACCTATTTTGTTCAAA